TAGCAAGTTCTAGATAAGGCTTGAGACTTTCTGTGCGCGTTGTCCTACATACTTTAAAAATAACTAGGACACAAACTTTTGTGATATAAACTTCCCTGACAAATATAGATGTGTTTTTTTTCCTTCTCTCCCCTCTTAAGCTTTGGAAAACTGTAAAAAGCAGAATGCTTGTCTCCCAAACACAGTAATTGTGAAGACCAGACATCCCTTTGAAAAGGAGTAGCCACCTGTTTAAGGTAGGCTAGGAGGAACAACTGTGAGAATCCTTCCTTTTGTGTTCTTTTCTCACTTCTCCCTGCTTTTGTCAACATTCAAACTTGTTATTTAATTGTTGTTTTCCAGTACAAGCTACTTGTTGTGTTCCAGTGGTTGTTGTGGGGTTTTGTTTGGTTGGGTTTTTTTTTGGTTGGTTTCTTTTTCCCCTGTGGTTATGTCATCTCCCTGCTTGGCTCTTCCCTGTATCCTTGAGGATGGTTGACAAAACTGCTTCTTCTGCCAAGCAAGTTTGGTGTGGCTGAGGCAGCAGGGAGAGAGGCAGAGCAGTGATGTGCCATGAGACAAGAGGATGGAAAGGGGCCAAGAGCAGCAGGTGGAGCATCTCCTCTGAGTCTGCTGCTGCCCTGGCTGATCCTCCATATCCACATGTCTGCACCTGTGCTGGAAACACAGCACATCTCCCAATATCCTGCACTTGGGGTGGGACAATAACAGTCTGCACCAGCCCCTGGGATGATCCCATGGCAAGTGGCTTCCCTGCACATGTTGTTCAGCTCTGATCTTTCAGGCTCTTGGTGTGTGTGGTCTTTGTGTCGGTCAGTGTGGTCACAGCCAGACAAATCCTTGGTGTTTATTCCCTGCATGAAAAAATGCTGTATCTTTCTAGCTAAGCTTTTCCTGTTTGCCTCCAGGAAAAACACTGCATCTTCTCTTGTCACTGGAAAAATCTGTAGGAGAAGAAAACCTTACAATGCAGGCAGGATTTCATGTTGTCATTGAAGACATAGGAAGGGCAAGAAAGGAAATAGGTTCAGTTTGGTCACTGAGGTTGGATTAGATGTCCTGCAAGAGAGGGAGACAAGTGGTGAGGACTGAGAAAAGGAAGTCTCAGGATAAGGAAGGTTTTCCTGGGAATGTATCTGTCAAAAGTTCTAGACACGAAGCGGAGCATCTGGCTGAGCAGAGGGGATTTACATACAGAACACCAAATATTGCTGCACTCATGCATTGAATGTGGGTTGTGAGTGTTTGTCTGGGCCAAGCTGTGGCCAGGGAGCTGGTAAACCTGTGCTCTCCCTGTACCACAGGAATCCTCTTTGTGTTTCCTGTTCCACTAGGGGAAAGGAAAACAACCAAGAGCAAGAAACAGAGGGAGGTTCAGGACCATGGATAAGGATTTCTTGGCTGGTTTTACTCTGGGCTTCAAGCATTGCTGTTCATGCAATCACATGTAGGCAGCTCAATCTTCCCATGCTCGGCTGCTGGTTATCCATGTGGGATGGTTCCCAGTGGAGGAAAAACTCTGTGGGGAGATGAAGGGGCCAAGCAAATCTGCTCTGCCAGATTTTTTAAAAAGCTTCCACAAATGTTGTGAACCTAGGATGAGTGTCAGAAATCTGGCTTTTGGTGGAACTGAGGTAAAAGTTGCTGTGAGACTGCACTTGGCTCACCTGGGTAGGAACCTTGAGGTAGGGAAGAGCTGCAGTGTGCAGTGCCTGTTGCCCAGGCAGCAGCCAGGGGTGAGTCTGGGCTATGGGAAGGAGCTCTGTAGGGTGGGTGGAAGCAGCTGGGAGGGGTGGAGAGCGCAATCTGTGAAAAGCAAAGCTTCATTGTCCCAGGAACACTGGAACTGAGGAGCTTTGCCATTTCCAAGGTGGTGAGCCTTCTCCAGACCCTGAAAATGAGCCTGGATGTGTCGTGGTAAACCTCTTCATGGGGAAAAGGCAACTGTGGGGGAGGAGGAGAGGGAGGCAGAATGCAGAAAGCAGAGGCCAGAGGGCCCTGTTTGGGTGCAAGCGCCAATCTGCTGTCTGCACGAGCCTGCCTGAGTTGCATATGCTGTCCTTTTCTGTGTGCCCAGAAAATTGTGATAAATAGAAGTCCAGGCAGGGAAGAGCATTTATTTTTATTTGCCTATTTTTGTCATTCACTTGGCATCTCTAGATGAATGGTGGAAGCAGGAAGGAAAGGCTGTTCTCCTTGTGCATGCAGCCCTGGGTGTGGGGCAGATTCTCAAAGACAGCTGGATTCCTGCTGACACCTTGCAAGCTACCTTCACCTTGGAAATATCATCCAGTGTAATGGTCTGTGCCAGCAGCCCCGTGGAGACTTCAGTCAGAGCTGTGGATAGGCAGTTTCCATGCTCTCCAGCTGGGATAGCTCAGGTGCTGCTGGTCTCTGTCCTCTCATCTATGTCCCATCAGGTGTCCGAGTGGGGGTGGAAGGAGATTCTCCTGGTGCTTCACCTCCCAGCAGTCAGACCAGGTAACCCAAAGGGTGCTGTGCCCCTCTGCAGGGCATGGATTCATCATGACCCAGCACTGCCAGGAGCTGCCATTCCCCAGGACACCCCTTCAGTCCCATCTCTCTTTTGTCTAGAGACAAATTACTTTCAGCCTTCCCTTTTAATGACATTTTGAAATGTGCAGACTACTCACTCATGGGTTTTTTTCCTTCTTATTTTCTCTTCCCAGCATATCAGTGTCAGTAGCCCCACAATCAACATGGGCCCAGAGGTGCGTGTAAAGCATCATCCCCTCCCTGTCAGAGCCAAGTGAGGAGGCTGAAGTAAAGCCCTGAACTATCAGATGGCTATGACACTGTGCTTAGCAAAAAGGGCAAGAGTAAAATGTTTAATGTCTTGTTGGTCCACTGAAAGTTAAAATTGGCAGCAAAGACATCAAAGCAGGTGTGAGGATGCTTCTGCAAGATTTGCCAAGGACTCCTGTTCTCCTGTCTGATGCTGGGAGCCAGGGCAGGGAGAGGCTGCAAGCACAGCCTGTTTAATATTCTCTCTGTCCCTCTGATCTCCCCCCTACCCTGCAGAAGCAACATGTCCCCTGCTTCTGCAGAGCTTGTCCTGAGCAATAGCAGCATCTGTCAGGGGTTATGGTGGCATTGGCCTCATGGAGCTGGGAGTTAGCAGTGCTTGGCAGAGTGACAGTTCTGCTGTACCTTACATAAATCTGTATCTTGCATAAATCTGTCTCTGCCTACTCCGCCAAGGTGTGTGGTCACAATTTGTCTGATTCTTCCCACTGTCCACAAGGATTTTGAGTTTCTTAGATTATATTTGTTTGAGACCTTTCTCCTTCATCTTTCTTAAAACCTCCCCACTCGTTACCCTTTCAGTTGTATCTGTCCCACAAAGTCCTAAAAGGGATGTATCTTAAACAGGTGTTTGTAGGGGATGCTGTGCTCCATCCTTTCCAACAGATGTTTATTTTCAATTAAATTCCCATCACCTTCCCCTCACAGGAGCTGCAGAATTCTCCCTGTTTTCCCATGGGATTGAATTCCTTGAGCCTCACTGTGGCTTTGGCAGCAAGCCCCAGCAGCCTCCTCCAGCAGAGCTGACTCCTGCTCTGGGTTGTGCCTGATCCCAGGTGCCTTGTTCATCAGTTCTTCATGGTTTTGTTGCCTCTCATCTGCTTTTCTGAGCCTTTTAGACCCTTCTGATGCCAGAAAGTAACAATTACCTCAGTTCTTTGCTGTCTTTCAGTGTCTAAGGAAATTCTTCAGGAAAACAAGAAAGCCCTTATTAAACATATCATTATCGCCCCAACCATACTTGTTCCATGTGTTTTCAAACAAAGCACCTGAAAATAAAATGTTGACCCCTTGAGAGAATCTCTGGTTGGTGGGGCTTGGCCTGAGCCACTCTCTTGTCCCCAGCTCTGTTCAGGGACCTGGTGGGAGGGCCCATAGCCAGTGATGTCCTGTGTCACTTTGTCACACCCACCTGGCACCAATTGCTTCACTGTGTTAAAACTGTAATAGAGACCTGTTCTGAGCATTGTGGCAGAGACCAGCATCACATCTCTGTTGGTCTGCAGGGCCAAATACTTGGTGTGTGTTACCCAATAAAACACAGCAGCTCCAAAGGAGCCTGTGATCTGAAACTCATTGCACCTCTTGGCGAGAGTCTCCACTGAGATAGATGTCCTCAGGTGCTGAGGTGGAGGTACTGGAGTGTAAGGGTACTTAGTGATGTTATTATTTATTATTGTTTGGTGTCTTGTGCTGGTGAGCAGTGATGCTCTTCTACCACAGGTTATCCAGGGGGAAAAGAAATGATCCCACATTGTGTTGTAGCACACACCCTGAGCTCTTAAAATGGAAGTTTGCTTTGTCTCCAAGCCCTTTTTCTTTTGTAGGCAGACATAAGAGCTGTAATACCTAGTGAATGGTATGTACTAACTCTATACAATGGCTCTTTAAAAAAAATAATTACATATGGTACAAGAGGGAGAGGAAACCACTCCATTCCTGTAAATGGCCACTTAAGATGTGGAGAATAAATAACTACAATAAATAACCTGGCACAGCTGAGCTTTAGCATTTGGGAGTAAATCAGAGCTCTTTCCCCATTGTCTGCAGAGATATGTCGGAAATGGAGTTGGAAGGAGAGGTTCCACTCCGAGTTTGTGGTAAGGTGTTGGGAGCGTGCGGGAGCCGCTGCTCTCCGTGTGCGCTTTCCCGCACCTCCCTTCCCCTTGCCAGGCATGTGCAGGGGAAGAGACTCCCTTTAGCTCCGCTGCCTGGTGAAGAAGTGCCAGGAGAAGGCAGGGGGATGAAGGCAGGGGATGAAGGCAGGGGATGAAGGCAGGGGGATAAGGCAGGGGGATAAGGCAGGGGGATAAAAGGCTGTGCCGGCGGGGCCCAGGAGCCGCCGAGGCCGCGCTGCCCCCGGCCCATCCCCGCCCTCACCCGAGCGGCCGCTCCCCTGCGCCGTGCGGGCTCGGCTGCCGCTATTTAAATGCGGCTCCAGCCGCTGGCTGGGGCTGCTGAGCGAGGGCTGTGTCGCTTTAAGGCACACGCGATATTCTCCCGAGCAGGGACGTGTTGAAATAGGCTCCGGCAGGTCCAGCGCCCGGGAGCCGCCGCCTTGTGCCCGCCCGCGCTCCGGAGCTGCTGCTCGGCCTCCGCTGTCCTGCACGCCGCGCCGATTTATATATGTTATATATGTTATATATGTTATCTGTAACAGCACCATCCCTTCCGAGGGCTCGGCAAGCAGAAGGGAATGCTAGGAAATGATCTAAAGGTGAAAATGAGAAGGTTTCCACCCCTCAAACCTTGGCCACTTTTCTGACGGCAGTCTGAGAGCTCAGATGTCTTCTTTACTCTGGAAACAGGATTTGTAACGAAAAAGAGATTTTTTTTTTTTTTCCCTTCTACTTTTAATCCTGATAAAGAAGATTATTGGGAAGCTATAAAAGAAATCCCTGCTTGTGGTACAGATGGATTTAAAAAAGTATTAGATCTTTCCGATGAACACTACTAGAGTGCTCTGCTCTTGGTTGGATTACTCAGGTAAGGAGCTTCCTCAGGGTTTAAGATTCAGAAAGCAGATCTGGAACTCATCAGATAATAAGTGGAAAATATTCACTGCTGTGTTTCTATATTAATGATAAGATGATCTCGGGGTGAATTTGTGTGTGTGACAGTTTGCTGACGAACGAGTGCATGAAGAAATGTTTGTATGAAATGCTGGGTTTGAGCAAAGGTAGTTTGAAATAGGGAATTTTTGAGACATGTTTTTATATTTTTTAAAAAACTACAAGAAACTAATAAAGCCTGAGTGGGTAAAGTAAGTCTGCTGTCCATGTGTGAAGAACATGATGCTGGAGGAAAGACACAGGAGCATTTAGCAGGTTGTGGAAGTTTGGCTCTTTGACTGGGATTTTTAAAGTTCAGTTTAAATAACCTGAACACCTGAAATTCCCCTGTATGAGACTCGCCTTCCCCTTTGCCTTTTGGTATAAAAGGCACGGGAGCACCAATTATGACAAGAACGTGTTAATTCCTGAAGACACGGGAAGCCTCCCGGGAGCTCCCTGATCTGAGCAGATCGAATCTATTTTGCAAGATAAATGGGTCTAAAAAGAGAGGATAAAAAGTGCATTGTATATTGCAAAGCAAACAGTTGGAAATGAAATTAATTATACACCAAGCAGTGCATCAAGCACTCAGTACAGAGAAAGGAAGAGCCTCATGCTGATCAAAATAATGTTTTGATATTCTCTATTAATTATACTTGTCAGTTTGTGTTGTTCATTTCAACTAATTAGACTTAAAAAGCTTCCCAAAGACTCTGCTGCTTTAAAATCAGGGCAAAAAAAGCCCCATTTATATGTATATATTTTATTACCACAGCATTTCACTATTTTAATATTGTTCATCTTCCTACTGTAGAAATCCCCTGATATTGCATGCAGATTTTTTTTTTTTTTTAGTAAAGACATGATTTTTTTTCCATGTGAGAGATTGAATCTTTCAAAGTCTTTCTTGCTCTGTAAAATGATGTTCAGCTGATTGGATTATTAGATAGAGAGCAGCATCCCGTCATTGGCTGAGTGAGGAGAGTGCCTGAAGTTTGATTAATTTGGCCATCTGAAATGCAGCAGAAGGTGCTGTTAAGGGAACTGGACGATGTGTAGCGTAGGTGAGCCTTGCAAACCTCCTGATCCTTGCAGGCACTGAGAAAGAGCTGCTGAAGTTAACAAGTCAGAGGGAAATTCAGCCAGTTAGTACAGCCATGAACAGAAGTATGGAAAAAGAGTTGTCTGCACTGGATGGCCAAGAGCACCAGCACCAGCAGACAAAGAAATTGTTTTTTCCCTTTGCAAAGGGAATATTTTTAAAATTTTCACACAATCTGCCTTGTGGAAGCATCAGATCTTCTATAGAGCACATCTGAAATTCAGTCTGGCCATACTCCAGTCCTTGTGCATGCACAGGTCGAACAAAAGGAAGCTGATTACATCTGGGGATTAGAACATAATTCTGAGAAACAATTACTTTGTTTGGTAGATAGATGCATGATTAATAATTAATTCTCACAAAAGCAAAAAACCAAGCAATGTGCTGTTACCTTCTGGGTCAGTAATAGCCTTTTTAGCTTTGGGTATGGAGTATTTTGGCAATATGTCTTGAATATCTGAGGATGTGTTATGCCTTTCTGCAATGTATTTAAAGCAGCTTTGATACTGTCTGGACATCATGTTGGTTTTTTCCAGCTGGTGTTGTGACTTTTTAAAATTTGGTTTACATTTTTAACTCCCCTGTAAATTGAGCTATGGATCAGTGTGAGAATATTTCCCAGTTTCTATTTATATTGTGTTTTTTTTTAGTCCTCAGATTATTACAGTTTGATTTTTACCACTGAATTATTAAAGTTACCCAGGCTCCTGTGTTGATGTCTCTTTACCTCAGCTGTCCTTTTTGGGCATGACCTTTGTTGTACAACAATTGCATCCTGCAGGGGGGAAAAATAATCAAAATACATTTAGCAAAAGGAGCGAAAAAGAAAAATATTAAAAACACTGTTGTAATGGAAGCTGACTATTGTGTGTGCTGTAAGGTATTGGATAATAATGCATGTCTAATATTTTGTTTAGAGAATGGCAGTGGTCTCTGCAATGTCCTGGGTCCTGTATTTGTGGATAAGTGCCTGTGCAATGCTGCTCTGTCAGGGGTCCCTCCATCACACTTTCCAGCAGCATCACCTGCACAGACCAGGTAGGACTGAGCTCAGCGCTGGGCTTGCAGGCTCTCTGCCCATGCTCCTGTCTGTCTTGATAAATGACTGACTAATCAAATTTTTTTTAAGTTTTATGAGTTGTTTGCCTTTGTATTGCACAGCATCTGTTTTTTGGTGGGTCTAATGTGTGTTGTGCTTTTCCAGTCCGATGTGGGAATAGTCATCCTTAATATCCTTTTCTAACAATTGTCCAGCATAAGAATCCCATTGTGGGTAATGGTTCAGTTTCTGTGTCCTTGTTTCTCTCTCCCCTTTGGTGAAGTTCTCAAATTCCTGTAGAATTTGGACACTGAGAGGTTTGTGGAATTTTATCTGACCCAAACTGAGGTCAGGTTTGTTCCTTAAACCATGGGCACTGAATCTCCCTCAGTCACCCTTGTGTGCTGGAGGTCAGGTTAAAGGAGGTTAAAACTTCTCAAATTGATGGGGCTGCAAAAGTGTGGCCTGGAGGAGAATTTGGGACTGTGAATAGAGTGCAGTGCCTGTAAAGGCAGAAGCAATCCCACAGGTTAGCAAGGGAGAACACAGCTCACTTGGATTGCTGGGTCTGCAGGGACAGCACAGCAGTGGTTTTATTGTGTTTTTATTAATAGAAATGGATCACATAACTCCTTCAACTGCTAATTGCACTTTGAAAAATGTGCTATGATAAAAATTGAGGTGGTGGCATTTTCTAGCACAGTATCTTCATCTGGTTAAAATTAGATGGGCCAAGAATGTCACTTAACCAAATTTGAATCCAAGAAAAGGTGGGAGAGGCTTTAAGAGTTGTAGAAATGAAATATGGAAAGTGTTAACTCAGTGATGAGTCATTTTACAACGTGGCAATTAATATTTTAATGGTTTTTGATTGAATAACATCCCTTCAACGACAAATGATCTTGAACACAGATCTTTAGCAACTTTAAAACTCAAAGTTTTCCCAGGTACGTTTCTTGTGCAGAAATCACAGGTATTGGCATTGTCTTGGTTTGTTTTAATAAAACATAAATGTTATAGAGGAATAGACCAAAATCCTTGCTAGGCTAGGTCTCAGTGACCATGTTAGAGTATCAGATTAACCAGGTATGTTACCTTTACCCCCTGGCACTGGAAATCTGGGAATGTTTGAAGTTTGAGAAGTGAGGGTCTTATTTGGGACTTGCAGAGATTTATTATAGTGCAATTATCAATTATGCTGCTGGTTATTTGAGTGTATCCCTAGTCAAGGAAAGGGAGAAAAAAAGAGCCCAGCTGCACAGGTATGTAAAAGGAAAATGTAATATCATTTTATGGAATCAGTTGGAACAAGTGACATTATGAGAAAAAATGAGAGCTGGGCAGATCCAGAGCACTGCAACATTTGCCTAAGCTTGAAAAATCACCTTTTTTATGAAGCAAGAACAGCAAGACACTGAATGCATACCAAATGTTGGGGAAATGTGAAAAATGACAAAATCTTTCACTCAGGGATGTGCTACAGATAGAGTGAAGGTTTTACAGCTGCCTCATCACCTACTTAGAAGCAGCCAAGCTTTCCCTCCTGCGAGCCTGGCTCAGGCAGCTTCTCTGCACCCTACATGAATAAGATTGATGGTGTTCTGATCCCAGGCAGCCAATTTCAGTCTCTCAAGAAATAATCCACTACACTGACAGATGAGTGGAATTTGACATGATGTTCACCTCAAATTCAGATTGTGCTGCACCTGGGAAGTACCAGCCAGTGAGTGTCCTTTAGGGAAACTCAGATATTTTGGACGATTTCTGCTGTCACAACAGAAAATCAAGACAGTGGGGTTTTTTTATAAGGCCATGAATTTGCAGTCTGCCAACTGAATGTTAAAGGTTGTACATAAAAGGGATGGAAATATGTTAACTAGCAAACTGAGTGATTTTAATGTATTCAACTGCAATCCCTGAGCACACCCTATTTTTCATATTTATATTATTAGGAATGCATAGTTTACTTTTAGTTAGAAACTCTGTAAGCAAGATTAAACTGTTCAGCCAAATAAAAGTGAATAAAAAATGGATGCAGATGAGCCCAAAGCATGATTTCAGTAATTTAATATTTGGTGTATGAAATTTCAACTTATTGAATCATGGCAGATAGAGCTGTAATCAATAGCATGCTCAGCATACCTTTTCTTTCGGTTTGTGATCATGCATAGATAATGAGCTGCTCTAAAATAAGAGAATTTGAACAGTTCATTTCCATCATGGGGCCACTGTGGTACAAGATAATTAAAAAGGCAGGTTCCACCCCATCTTGTGCTTCCCATTCTTGATGAATAGAAGAGTCTCACTGAGCACAGGAAGGTGCAAGTAAAAGATAAAATCCTCTTGGAGTGTATTTAGCATAATAAACTTGAACTGAACACGGTGGATTAGCTCAGTGAATATATCCATCTGGACCACAGCAGTTAATCCAATTTGGAAACCCTGGAAATCAAGGGCAATATATTAAAAGGTTAGTTTATCATCAGAGATTTCCAAGCTTGATCTTTTATTTTTTTTTTTTCTCCCAGAAACTTTCTTAAGCAAGTATCTGAATGGGCTGGAATAGATTTTTACACACTGTGCAATCACAGAAGCTTAAAGCCTCTTTCCAGTGCAGTATAATTTTTCATTTTTATAATTCAGTACTTCTTTATTCAGTTAGATGACTTAGCAGAAGGTATGAACCTGGAAACAAATGTGATAAACTGCTCTACATGACAGTATTTGTGATTGACTGTAGCTTTCTTTTCTGTGAAACGTTGGCAGGTAGGTACAAGTAGTAAGGCCATAGTAAATACTGCTTGCATATAAGATGAATGATGCTGTGTTATTTGTGCCTGTTCATTAATTCTTTTTGTCTCATTACCACAATGAGAAGTTTGAGTGCTCCTCTTTAGTGCCCTTAAATATTGGTGCCTGTTCCTTTTGACCTAGGTAGGTGAGGAAGAGGAGACGTGGGAGTAAATCTGCAGAACCTCACTGCAGTGTAATTCCCCTTGGGCAATAGTCATGGCTTTCTGCAGGGTTTTTTTATGACTGTATTTCATTTTCATGAAAATCATGTTAGGCAAAGGATATGTGAAAGCATTCGCAGGAAATAACTTTATGTGGAAACAAATCTCCATCTTCTTTGCAAGCTTGTCATTTCTGTGTGATTTAAGAAGAAATAGTGGTAATGAAAAGAATTCCACGCTGGTTGTTTTGGTCTCTAAGATACACACGGTTGTAGGGCTGTTGAATTGGCCTGAGGGGTTAGAGTGGACATGTTGATTTGAAGTTATCTGAGTGCCTGTGATAGTTCATTGATCATCTGATTGACAGGATTGATCCTTCCAGCAGTAGGAAGCAGATGCTGGGATTTGGTGACACAATATATTAACAAAGTACAGGATTCAAGTTTTAAAAAAATAATAAAAAAACAGTTGTCACCCTTTCAATCATGTAATTCTCTGCAAAATTCTGATGTTGTTCCATAACATGATATTGGATCTTTCAGCTAATCATAGGTGACAACACTGGCCATGTGTTACTTGGAAGGACATAGAATTCACCTGTAAGTTTGTGCAAATGAATTAGGTACACATCAAGTTAGTCTTGTGTGCAGTGTAAAGATGTAAGGCAGACACAAGCAGAAAAAATACCCACTGTGGCACTGCTGACATTTGCAAATATGCTAATTAAAAATAGGCCTGTTCAGAGGAAGAAATCATGGACTGAATCAAGGCTGGAATTTTATGATGCTAAACATGAAGTACCTTTTATTGTGACAGTAGTTAATGATGTGCCTGTTAAAAATCTTCTCAAAAAGTGATTCTCTATACTACATATTATGAGATGGAAAAATCAGTCTCAAAGCAATTCTGCACCAACTAATAAGGAGCATCAACCTAAGGATGCTGTGAACATGTTTCTCAGTAGACAGCATTTTGCAGAAACTGTAGTCTGTGGCTGTGAGCAAAAAATGTCTTAGTTCTGATCTTGGCCTTCCCACTGATTTTTTTTATAGCCTTGGGGTAAACTGCATATTTTCACATTTCAAAAGGTCTGCTATTTTCATATGCCCCATATATGTGGCTATTCAGTTCAAAACAGGCAGGGTTTTGAATCTAATTCCTCAGGAAAGTATAAATAAAATGTGTCTCTGCTTTGTAGAACAATCGAGATTTGGAAGGTGAGTTCAGCAGGATTTTTGCTCTTGGTGTTGACAGAAGCAAGTGTGGCCCTAGGTAGTTAATATATAAAAGTTTCTGTGATTAGCAGGAATTGTATTTTATTAATCACATGGTGTGAATGCAAACTGTTGCCTTCAGTGTACAATGTTCAAATTGCCAGGCAGGAACACAGCCAGCCATGGCTATGAAAGGTGACAGCTATTGTTTCTTGCTGTGTTAATTAAAATCAGCACATTTTTAAGTTCTAAGGTCTGACTCAGTTTTCATTTACACCAGCAAATGCACAGGAAGCAGCACAGTGCTCTGGTTTGTTTGCAGTCAGAAAATCCTGTTCCCAAGGAGCTGTTCCAGTCACTCACTGGAGAGATCTCCCTTGTGATACCTTTGTTATACCCACCTGGCCTTGACAGGCTGCTCTCGAAAATGTGAAATTACCAACTGCTAAGTGAAGAAATCCAAGTTGTAAGTACCTACTGTGTTCCTGGTCACATACAAAATGCATTTGGATGTATGTGGACACGTATTTTGTTTAGGAAGAGAACTGATGTGACAAAATCTACACTTAAGCATGAGGTAGGGTTTCTAGCAGCATGATGGCAATGAACTGCCTGCTGTGCTTGTGTGATGGGCTTGTTTACAGCAGCAGACTTGATCAGAAGTATTGCACCCTGTGATTTTGGGTTTTTTTGATTTTTTTTTTTCCTGAAAAATCAAACCTCTGAAAAACACCCAGCATGGCTCCAGGGTGTGCTTGGAGATAGGGTTAGCCATGGGGGTTTTGGGGGTCTGTTGGCTGGGACACAAGGGAAGTAAAGGGGAAGGGATAG